CAGATTCACATAAAAAATTAACTCAATTATTCTTTTGTCTGTTCTCTCTTCTTGCCGTTCCCAGCTGTCTCTGCTCAGTGGCACCTTAAATATTAATAATTATACTACAGTGCTAGCAGCTTTTAACCTGCTTGGTTGCATCCCCAGCCTTTCCACCAATGCTAAGAGCTCCAATGCCTTCTTTCTGCAATCCCCATAAGGACTTTTCCAAGTATTTCCTCCCAAAGCTACATTTTGGTCAATGCCTCCTTGGAACAAGGCAAAGTTTCAACTTGTCTAAAGGAGGCAGCTGTAAGACCTATATTTAAAAAACCATCCCCGAATCCCTCTATAATGGACAATTATCAGCTAGTGTCCATTACAGAAGGATTCAGGGATGGTTTTTAAAGTATATATACATTTCTGAGTAACTTTACCAGCTGTTAGGATTTCTGGGAGTTGAAGGCCAAAACATCTAGGGACCCACATGTTGAGAACCATTGATCTATATCCATTTCAATCTGGTTTCAGGACTTGGCTGTGGAGCAGAGACAGTTTTGATCACCTTGGTGGATGATCTACGCAGAGAGGGGGAATGTGTCCCTGTCAGTTCTCCTGGACCTCTCTGTGGCTTTTGTTACCACTGATCATGGTATCCTTCTGGGTTGTCTAGCTGGGATGGGACTGGGAGGCACTGTCTTGCAGTAGCTCTGGTCCTTCCTGGAGGGCCGCACCCAGAAGGTGGTGGCTGGGGACTCCTGTTTGAACCCTTCGCCATTGACCTGTGGGGCTCAGAATGGTTCCATTTTGTCCCCCATGCTGCTTAACATATGTGTGAAACCACTGGGAGAGGTTACCTGGACTTTTAGCATGTGGTGTCACCTGCATGCAGATGACAACCAACTTAGCCCTTTCCACCTAAAGCCAAGGAAGCTGTCCTGACTCTAAACCAGTGCATATCATCAGTAATGTATTGGATGAGAGCAAACACATTGAAACTTAATCCAGACAAGACAGAGGTATTCCTGGTCAGTTGGAAGGCAGACCAGGGAATAAGGATCCAGCCTGTGCTGGAGAGGTTTACACTACCCCTGAAAATACAGGTTTACAGTCTGGGGGTCCTCCTGGACTCAGCACTGAACCTGGAGGCCCAGGTATCTGTGGTGGCCAGGAGGACTTTTGCACAACTGTGCTTGTTCCTTGAGAAGCCAGATCTGGCCATGGTGGTACATGCCTTAGTTACATCTGTCTGGATTACTCATGCACTGTACGTGGGGCTGCCTCTGGATAGTGCTTATGTTGTTATGTTTTGAGGCCTTGGCCTTTGTAAGCCGCATCGAGTCCTTTGGGAGATGCTAGCGGGGTACAATAGTTAATAATAATAATAATAATAATAATAATGTCCTTGGGGAAAGAGTTCCAGAGTCGGGGGCTACCACAGAAAAGGCCCTGTCCCTCATCCCCACCAAATGCGCTTGCGACGCAGGTGGAATCGTGAGCAGGGCCTCTCCAGATGAACGGAGGGATCGTGTGGGTTCATATACGGAGATGCGGTCACGCAGGTAGGCGGGTCCCAAACCGTTTAGGGCTTTGTAGGTAAGCACCTGCACCTTGAATTGGGACCGGAAAATGAACGGCAGCCAATGGAGCTCCTTAAACAGGAGGGTTGACCTCTCTCTGTAAGGAGCACCAGTTAACAACCTGGCCGCCGCCCGTTGGACCAGTTGGAATTTCTGAGCCGTTTTCAAGGGCAGCCCCACGTAGAGCGCATTACAGTAGTCCAATCTAGAGGTAACTAAGGCATGGACCACCCCGGCCAGATCAGCCTTTACGAGGTACGATCGCAGTTGGCACACAAGTCTTAATTGTGCAAAAAGCCCTCCCGGCCACTACCAACGCCTGAGCCTCAAGCGTAAGTGAGGAATCCAAGAGGACACCCAAACTGTGGACCTGTGACTTCAGGGGGAGTGTAACCCCGTCCAGCACAGGTTGCCACCCTATACCCCGATCTGGTTTACGATCGACCAGGAGGACCTCTGTCTTGTCGGTATTGATCTTCAACTTGTTCATCCTCATCCAGACAGCCACAGTGGCCAGGCACCTGTCCAGCACCCGAGGGGCTTCCTTGGAATTAGGTGGAAAGGAGTAGTAGAGTTGTGTGTCATCTGCATAGAGATGGCACCCAACTCCAAAACTCCGGATGACCTCTCCCAGCGGTTTCATGTAGATGTTGAAAAGCATGGGAGACAGAATGGAACCTTGTGGGACCCCACAGGTCAAAGGCCAAGGGTCCGAGCAGGCGTCTCCCAGCTTCACCAACTGGGAACGACCCTCCAGGAAGGAACGGAGCTACGATAGAACCGTGCCCCCAAGGCCCATCCCGGAGAGTCGTCCCAGCAGGATACCATGATCGATGGTATCGAAAGCTGCTGAGATGTCCAGGAGAACTAACAGAGTCACACTCCCCCTGTCCAGTTCTCTGCGGAGGTCATCCACCAAGGCGACCAAAGCTGTGTCGGTGCCGTGGCTAGGTCTGAAGCCAGACTGTGACTGATCCAGGTAGTTGATGTCATCCAGAAATCCCTGGAGCTGAGAGGCGACCACCCGCTCCAGCACCTTGCCCAGAAAAGGGAGGTTGGAGATCGGTCTGTAGTTGTTCAGCACCGTGGAGTCGAGGGAAGGCTTTTTTAGAAGTGAATCACTTGAAGGTACTGCAGATCCCCCCCATCTGTTGTCCATACTCCCACAAACGTATTGTTTTGTGATTAATCACTATGCTTTAATTATGTTCTATTTCTAACAATGAAAATGCATCCAGAATATCAGATATTTACATTACAATTCACAACAGTATCAAAATCAGTTATGAAGTAGCAACTAAAATATGTCAGTTCTTGTGGGTTTTTTCGGGCTATATGGCCATGTTCTAGAGGCATTTCTCCTGACGTTTCGCCTGCATCTATGGCAAGCATCCTCAGAGGTGAGGTCTGCATGGAGCTGGGAAAAAAGGGGTTTATATATCTGTGGAATGACCAGGGTGAGACAAAGGGCTTTTGTAAGTTGGGCTAGGTGTGAATCTTTCAACTGACCACCTTGATTAGCATACAATGGGCTGACTGTGCCTGGAGCAAACTCTTCTTGAAAGGTGATTAGATGTCCCTGCCTGTTTTTCTCTCTGCTGTTTTTGCTGTTGCAATTTTAGAATTTTTTAATACTGGTAGCCAGATTTTGTTCATTTTCATGGTTTCTTCCTTTCTGTTGAAATTGTCCACGTTTGTGGATTTCAATGGCTTCTCTGTGTAGTCTGACATGGTGGTTGTGAGAGTGGTCCAGCATTTTTGTGTTCTCAAATAAAATGCTGTGTCCAGGTTGGTTCATCAGGTGCTCTGCTATGGCTGATTTCTCTGGTTGGAGTAGTTTGCAGTGCCTTTCATGTTCCTGGATTCTTGTTTGGGCAATGCTGTGTTTGGTGGTCCCTATGTAGACTTATTTATTTATTTATTTATTTATTTGCTTTATTTCTATACCGCGTTTTTCAGCCTAATTAGGCGACTCAGTGCGGTTTACACAATGCAGGTTATCACAACAATAAACAGTTAAAAACACATCATACACAATAGCAAAATCCACAATTATCATCAATTCATGACGCCTCGATAACAGAGCAAAATCCATTCTCATAATCCTTGTGCCATTCCTATGTTCAATTTTACCGTCTTCCTATGTTCAATTGCACTGTTTAGCCAAACGCTTGCTCGTAGAGCCAGGTCTTAACCTTCTTCCGAAACGCCAGCAGCGAAGGAGCCTGTCTGATGTCAATGGGTAGGGCATTCCATAGCCGAGGGGCCACCACCGAGAAGGCCCTGTCTCTCGTCCCCGCCAACCGTGCCTGTGACGCAGGCGGGACCGAGAGCAGGGCCTCCCCGGAAGATCTTAATGTCCGCGTCGGTTCATAGGTGGAGATGCGTTCGGAGAGGTAAGTGGGGCCGGAACCGTTTAGGGCTTTGTAGGCTAACGCTTGTCCACAGCTGCATGGTATACGGTAGACTCCTGCAGAGGTGAGAGGATCTAGGTGGTCAGTTGAAAGATCCACACCTAGCCCAACTGACAAAAGCCCTTTGTCTCACCCTGGTCATTCCACAGATATATAAACCCCTTTTTCCCCAGCTCCAGCAGACCTCACTACCTCTGAGGATGCTTGCCATAGATGCAGGCGGAACGTCAGGAAAAATGCCTCTAGAACATGGCCCTATAGCCCGAAATAACCCACAAGAACCTAGTGATTCCAGCCATGAAAGCCTTCGACAATACAACTAAAATATGGTTGGGGGTCACACAACATGACGAACTTTATATAGGGGTCACGGCATTAGAAAGGTTGGGAACCACTGCCTTAGAGTAAGGGTCTCTCTGCACCAGAGAGAGCGGCGGCCAGGCCCAACAAGGCGCTCCTGCAGGCGGGGGCCTGCTACACACACAGAGACAGAGAGACCCTCCGCCGAGGAGAGTGCCAAGTGCATGCCGGGAGGGAACTCGAATGGGGGAGGGGGGAGTGGGAAGGAAGAACGCGCGACAGGCGAAGAGGGACCCTTGCCGCCCTCAGAGGAGGCGTGGTGGGAGGAGCCGAAAGGGAGAGCCTTCCCTTCCTCCCTCCCTCCCTCGCTAGGGGGGGTGCTTTGTAACCCCGCCCACCACCTGTGTGCTGGCGCGAGCGGCCGCCCTGGCTGCCGGCCCCTCCCTCCTTCCCTCGCTCCCTTCATCTATTTATTTATTTATCTGAGCGTGAGAGCCTCTGCGCGCGCACTCCCCAGCGTGGCTTGATTGAGAGACTTGTCTGACCCACCGTACGAACCTGGGAGGGAGGGAGGAGGGAGGGGACGCACGCGCGCCTGAGGCCTGCGCGCGCAGACCTTTATCTCAAAGGAGCGCGAGGCGGGGCCGAACCCCTCCCCGAATCAGTAGTCCGTTCTCCTTGCGGCCGGGAGGGAGGGCGTGCGCGCGCCTCTCTCTCTGTGTGAGAGGGAGAGAGAGAGAGCGCGAGAGAGTGCGCGCGCGCCTCTCTGTGTGAGGGAGAGAGCGCGAGAGAGTGCGCGCGCCTCTCTGGGAGTGCGCGCGCATCCGTGGTGCTTTTTTTCCCTCACTGTGTTGTGAGGGGGGGAGAGGAATTGTTTTGTGAGGGACTGACTGAGGAAGGAAGAAAGGAAGGAAGGAAGGAGGGAGGGAAGGAGGAAGAGCCGCGCTTCCTGCTGGTCGCCGGGATGTGGTGAAGGGAAAGGGGAAAGGCTTCCCCCCTCCTTCCTTCCTTCCCTCCCTCCCTCCCTCCCTTCCGCCGAGCAGGCCCTCCTCCAAGGCTCCGAGGCAGAGGAAGGCGAGGAGGAGGAGGAGAAGCCTGACGTGGCCGCGCCCCGAAGGGAGCCCCTCAGTCTCCCCACTGGAGTTGGAGGTGAGTGTGAGGAAAAGACTCAAGAGGGAAGGGAGGGAGGGTGTGCCTGGCTAACCTCCGCGGGAGAGGAAGGAGGCAGGGAGGAGGAGGGCTTCTGTCACCGTCCCCAGCTTCTGCTCCTTCTCCCTACCTATCACCTCGACGTGGAGGAAGGGGCAAATAGGAGAGAGAGGAAGCCCCGCACATCTTGACCGAGAGGGATGCCGAAGCAGCTCATGCCCACTGTCCTCCCTTCTGTGGGGAGTTGTCGGGAGAGTGGGAGCGCACCCACGCCCTTCTGCACACTCACAACGACGTCGAGGGTTAGTCCATTCCGCTCCTTGCTTCTGCGATCCGTGCTGTGTGGCTAGGGATGATGGTATTGTGTAGTCTCATGTGTTGGAAGCAAATCCAGACCTCACAACCTCTAAGGATGCTTGCCGTAGATGCAGGCGAAACGTCAGGAGAGAATGCCTCTAGAACATGGCCATATAACCCCCCCAAAAATCTTGTGTACTCTCATGTGTTGGAAGCAAATCCAGACCTCACAACCTCTGAGGATGCTTGCCATAGATGCAGGCGAAACGTCAGGAGAGAATGCCTCTAGAACATGGCCATATAACCCCCCCAAAAATCTTGTGTACTCTAATGTGTTGGAAGCAAATCCAGACCTCACAACCTCTGAGGATGTTTGCCATAGATGCAGGCAAAACGTCAGGAGAGGAATGCCTCTAGACAGGCCCGTAGCCAGGATTTCATTTCGGGGGGGGGGGGGGTGGTGAGTTTGATTCGGGGTGGGGGGGCTGAGTCTGAGTGAAAATGGGTCTGCCCTAGCAAACCTTTTGTATAATTACCCCAATACCCCTGTGCATATGGGATATAGTGATCATGGTGATCAGATCATGATATGAATAAACATAACAGCTCAAATAATGTACCAGTAAAGCCTTCTCGCGTACCACCATCAGAATACCAGCTGCTCTGGAGAGGCCTTATCACACTAGAGGAAAAATCCACTTAAAACCCGGTTGCTACCACCCTGGTCATTCCACAGATATATAAACCCAATTTTCCTAGTTCCAACAGACCTCACAACCTCTGAGGATGCTTGCCATAGATGCAGGCGAAACGTCAGGAGAAAATGCCTCTAGAACATGGCCATATAGCCCGAAAAAACCTACAACAACCCATTATTTGGAAGCAAATCCAAACCTCACAACCTCTGAGGATGCTTGCCATAGATGCAGGCAAAACGTCAGGAGAGAATGCCTCTAGAACATGGCCATATAACCCCCAAAAAATCTTGTGTACTCTCATGTGTTAGAAGCAAATCCAGACCTCACAACCTCTGAGGATGCTTGCCATAGATGCAGGCGAAACGTCAGGAGAAATGCCTCTAGAACATAGCCCGAAAAAACCCACAAGAACCTAAATAAATAAATACTTGTGTTTTCCAATAGTTTGCAATTAGTGACTCCTGCCTTGAGGATGCTTGCCATAGAAGCAGGCGAAACGTTAGGAGAGAATGCCTCTAGAACATGGCCATATAACCCCCTAAAAATATACAGCAACCCACAAATCCAGATCGCTCATCGTAGTTGTGATGAGAGGGGGGGAAAAATGGAGAAATAGTCCACTCTTCAGTCCGTCCTTAGCTCACCGCTCTCACCATATACAACAGAGGTTCTCAACCTTCCTAATGCTGCGACCCCTTAATACAGTTCCTCATGTTGTGGTGACCCCCAACCATAAAATTATTTTCATTGCTACTTCATAATTGTAATGTTGCTCCTGTTATGAATCGTAATGTCAATATCTGATATGCAGGTTGTATTTTCATTCATTGAACCAAATTTGGCACAAATGCCCGATAGGCCCAAATTTGAATACTGGTGGGGTTGGGGGGGGGAGATTTTCATCATCATCGTCATCATCATTTAATAACTTATTAATCGCCCTCCATCCAAGATGCTCTAGGCGATTTACAAGCTAAAATTGTAAAGGATAAAAATACATACATACAGATATTGATAAAATTAACAAGATCAAAAGCTCTAGTAAAAAGCCAGGTCTTAAGTGCTAGGGTAAAAGGCCCTAACTCACGCATGGCTCTCATATAGGGTGGCAAGGAATTCCACAAGGCAGGGGCAGAAATAGAAAAAGCTCTGCGTCTGGTCCTTTCCAAGTGCACTTCTCTAGGACCCGGTATATAAAGTAAGTCACGTTGGGATGGTCGTTGCGACCTCCGATGATGGGAGAAGGAGAGGCGGTCCCTAAAGTACGATGGACCCTGGCCGTAAAGAATTTTAAAGGTCAGAACTAACATCTTATACAGGCCACGGTACTCAGTTGGAAGCCAATGTAAATGTTGCATCACTGGTGTTATATGGCATTTCATGGGCGTTCTTGTGAGTAACCTGACTGCCGCATTCTGAACAATACGGGGCCTTCGGGTTGTAGACATCGGAAGACCAACATACAGGGCGTTGGCCCTGTATGTTGGCCTAATTTTGTCATTTAGGAGTTGTAGTTGATGGGATTTATAGTTCACCTACAATCAAAGAGCATTCTGAACTCCACTAATGATGAAATTGAACTAAACTTGGCATACAGAACTCCCATTACTAATAGAAAATACTGGAAGGATTTGATGGGCATTGAGTTTTGGAGTTGTAGTTCACCTACATCCAGAGAGCACTGTGGACTCAAACAATGATCGATCTGGACCAAACTTGGCATGAATGCTCAATATGACCAAATGTGGTAGAGTTTGGTGAAAATAGACCTTGACATTTGGGAGCTATAGTTGCTAGAATTTACAGTTCACCTGCAATCAAAGAGCATTCTGAACCCCACCAATGATAGAATTGACCCAAACCTACCACACAGAAGCCCCATGGTCAACAGAAAATACTGTGTTTTCAGATGGTCTTTGGTGATCTGTCTGACACCCTCCTTGCGACCCGCTCAGGGGTTCCGACGATGGCGAAAGCGTGAAGCGGGCGAGGGGGATTTGCGGGAGGCCAGGCCTCATGCCGAGATCCCCTCGTCCACCTCGTACCCTCGCTGGATGGTGAGAGTGTGCGGTGGGCTTTGCGCGAGGCCAGGCCTCACGCGAAGGAGCTCTCGCCTGGCCCGCGCCCTTGAGGCGGGGCCAATGGAGGTGGCCTTGCGACCCCTCCGAAGTGGCCAGATGACCCCCAGGTTGAGAACAGCTGATATACAGGTTTTCTAGAGGTGTGATCAATTAGCACTAAAGTATGTTTTTTCAGGGTTGCTAGAATAGGGCCACCAGAATGAGAGGCATGTATGGCTCCTTATGGGGCAAGGGAACGGGCACCACACATTCATTACTTGGGCAGGAATTGTATTTAGAAAAGGAGTTAAGACTTTCCTCTTTAATTGGGATCTATAAGTTCAAAGATGTAGACAAAGATGAATCTTACTTACTTACTTAGGCGATCCCTCGTTGTCCGTGTAGGATAGTCTTCCAGGATCAGTGTACTGGCGGTGGGTCCGTAGGTGACTGTGGAGCCCTATTCTTGATCTGCATCTTCTCCCGCAGTGAGGGCATTGGTTTCCAGGTGGAAGGTGTTCTTGGTCAGGGTTGGCTTGACGCACCTTCCTCTTGCCACACTTCTCCCTTTCGCCCTCCATTCGTGCCTCTTCAAATTCTGCAGCACTGCTGGTCACAGCTGACCTCCAGCTGGAGCGCTCAAGGGCCAGGGCTTCCCAGTTCTCAGTGTCTATGTCAGAGTTTTTATGGTTGACTTTGAGCCCATCTTTAAATCTCTTTTCCTGCCCACCAACATTCCGTTTTCCATTCTTGAGTTCGGAGTAGAGCAACTGCTTTGGGAGACGGTGGTCGGGCATTTGACCGGTCCAGCGGAGTTAATGTTGGAGGACCCCCATTTTTGTAGCTTTGGATTAGTCTGGCATGACTTATTTTTTAGAAATTTATGCTTTTATTTTTTATACTTTGATTGTTTTCTTGTTTTCTTTTTCTATTTTACTTCTTCCCATTTCTCTGTGTCTATGCCACAGTTTTTAAGCCCATCTTTAAATCTCCTTTCCTGTCCACCAACGTTACGTTTCCTGTTCTTGAGTTGAGAGTAACTGTTTTGGGAGATGGTGATCGGGTATTCCGACAGCATGGCCAGTCCAACAGAGTTAATGGCATAGGAGCATCCCTTCAATGCTGGTGGTCTTTGCTTCTTTCAGCACACTGACATTTGTCTGCCTGTCTTCCCAAGAGATTTGCAGGATTTATCGGAGGCAGCGCTGATGGAATCATTCTAGGAGTTGCATGTGACGTGTGTAGACAGTCCACGTTTCACAGGCAAATAGCAGGGTTGGGAGATAATAGTTTTATAAACAAGCACCTTGGTATCCCTACAGATGTCCCAGTCCTCAAATACTCTCTGTTTAATTCAGAAAAAAAGCTGCACTCGCAGAGCTCAGGCGGTGTTGTATTTCAGTGTCAATGTTGGGAGAGGTGGCTGCCAAGATAGTATGCCCTTAACTGTGCTACTAAAACAGAAGTCAGAGGAGTCTTAAACAAAGATAATATGTGAGAATTGTTAAGGACTTATCAACTGCTTGAAAATATAATTCTGGACACAACAAACATTTACATTGTATGTCTAACAGCTTTTGATGGAATTTGAACCAAGTCCTAGCACCTGATGGTTCGCATAGGAATTTTAGACGGGTTTTAATTAAATTCAATTTTAACTGTTTACATGGATGAGGCTATGGAGCATTTGTGTAACTCTTATGGTTTGTTTTAGCCAATGGTTTTATGTGACATCATATATTTTAAATATGCTGTGAGCTGTCTTGGGTCTGCTGGGAGCAAGGCGGCATGGAAATTCCTGAAATAAATAAATAAACATTTTGGATGAAATTGTTTTTGGGTCATAGAAATGTGGAGATAGGGACATCAATGGATGTGGGGAAACAACATATATATGTGTGGTTTTTTTGTTGTTTTTTTGCAAATGCAAGTGTTGGGATATAAGCTGGATGTAGGTTTGGTATTCTTGGTCCAGATTGTGGGTGGGGAGCAGGGAGATGTTGGAATTTACCACTATAGACATAAAACGCATAGATTGGAATGTTGGTATCAATCCTTCATGGAGAAGGAGGAGGATCTTGACATTTAGAGTCATAGAATCATAGAGGTGGAAGAGACCATGTGGGCCATCTAGTCCAACCCTCAGCCATGCAGGAAAAGCACAATCCAAGTATCCCTGACAGATGACCATCTAGCCTTTGTTTAAAAGCTTCCAAGGAAGGACCTTCTACCACACTTTGAGGCAGAGACTTCCACTGCTGAATAGCTCTTGGAGTCACAAAATTCTTGGAGTCACAAAATTCTTACTAAGGTGGAATCTCCTTTCATGCAATTTGGACCCACTGCTCTGAGTCCTGGTTTCCAGGGCAGCAGAAAGCAAGCCTACTCCCTCTTCCTTATGACATCCTTTCACATATGTATACATGGCTATCATGTCTCCTCTCAGCCTTCTCTTCTGCAGGCTAAACATGCCCAATTTTTTAAAGACAATCCTCATAGGGCATGGTCTCCAGACCTTTGATCATTTTAGTTGCCCTCCTCTGGACATCTTCCAGCTTGTCAATATCTCTTTTGAACTGTGGTGTCCAGTTCAGAGTGTGGTAAATCTTTTATGTCATGGAGAGGAAGATGTTATAACAAATTGTTATTGTGGAATGAAGTGGCATGTAGTTGGGATAGGTTTTTTTTTGGTTTTTTTTTTTTTTGGCAGATGGGACTTTTTAGGACCTGTTGATGTGCCAGAAGCACTAGTTCAATATCATTCATGGTTTTTGACCTTTTGGTGCTGTCGAGATTACAGATCTCTCAGTTGATGCATGGTCGGAGAGAAGAGTTTATTTTATGAATTAGTGGTGGAGGATAAATTATTATGTGAAACTGATTATTATTTTATTTAAATCTAAATTCAAATTACCATATTCCCATGAATTAAAGGCAGACAGTGGGCAGCTTTGTTCTGATGTCTGTTTTATGGAGTTTAGTCATGAAACCAAGACTGTATTTATCCAAGCTTTGTCAAGAATATAGCAGAATTGTATGATGTAGATTGTATTGGTGTTTCTCACAGTATTAAAAATAATACTTGGGAACTAGACCCATTGCATAGTCAGATGTTTCTGTAATATGAATCTAGAGCAGTATGAGGTTATATTGGTCATTGAATCAATTAGCTCATTTTGGATGAGAGCAGTAATTTTTTAAAATAATACTTAGGCTTGAATACTCTATGCTGAATTGTATTGGAACTTGTGGTTAGCAATCCCCTTAAAGCAATGTTGTCTATTAGAGATAAAAAATAAGGGTGGGTCTTAAATATTCTTGTTTTGAAGCAAATCTTATTGAAATTTAAGTTGTGAAACTATATATATAGAGAGAGAGAGAGAGAGAGAGAAAGCGTGCGTGCGCGAACCTAATTTACATCTGCTTGGCACTTGATTTTTCCCATTTGGATGAAGCTTCTGATTTGATTGTCTTGCTTTTTATAATGTTATGAATGATACTAATAAGTCAGTCCTTTGTGCACTTGCTTGGGAGTAGCACATTTAAACTAAATGGGATTTAAGAGGTAGAATGCATAGAATTATGATGCCAGTTACACAGCTGAACCTACTTTCTTTGTCTGATGGTTTGTGGTGCATGTTTGACTTTAATCTTATAGTAGGTTTTGAATCTTTGTATTTTAAATAAAGATTTTCCCCTGCTGTTATACTTTCCAGTTGCTTTTAATTAATCTAATTTTTGAAAATTATCCGGTTGTAATAGCTTTGTTGGAAAGTATGGCTGACTTTGGAGTTGCCCTTTCCTGAAACAGGACTGGGGAAAAATATTAGTTGCTTATGATTATGGTCCTTGTGCCTAGGAATTTGAATCACTACTTCCGATTTTGACTCTAAGCTTCTGTGAGAAAATCTTCAGTTGTATCTTATGGTATTGAACCTTTTGTGCACTAAGCTGCCTCTGAGACAGGGTTTATGTCTTAAATTTCAAGATAATCAAATATTGTTTCATACATGTCTTAGGATAAAGAGATCTATAACAAAAGGGTCTTGGAAGTGCTTGTTGTTCTTCTCCCTCCCAATTTCTTTTGGTTTTGGGTTCAAAATCTGTGCCACATATTTATTTCAATTGATAGGAAAGTGAAAAAAGATTGATGTCTCAACAGTACATCTGAACAAGAATGGATATATGGAGAGTGGCAGAGTAGCCATTTATTTATTTGTATAGCAGTTTCTCCTGGAATACAAAACTTTGTGTGAGTAGATCCCTCAGGTAATTATTTAATTTTAGGACTATGAGTCTTATCTAGCAATATCGTTGCTACAAAAGTAAGAGGAACCATTAACTTAATTTTGATACCATGTTGCTTTTGTTAGTGAGCTCTTTTTTAAAAGATGGCATGGTGTTAGAAAAATATTTGGGTTGAAAATATGGCATTGTAAAATCTATCTACACAGAAGAGTTTGAGGTCTTTTGTTTGTTTATTGACATGTTTTTAAGGATAGTGATTTTTAAATTTTCATGTGTATGTTTCTATGTATCTCTTCTTTCACATAAATAGCTTTAGAAACAGTTTGAACATGCATATTGTAAGAGATCTCTAAAATTCCCAAATCGTGCCTTCTTAAAATTTGTCTTAAAATGTAAAAATAAGTGCTTATGAATGAGTATCCCAGATCTCCCTCTGCAAGATGGAAATGCAAAATGCACATATGCTTAGTGTTCTGAATGTGAATGTTTAGTTCAATGGTACTATTCATGTTGTGTGTCTTGACATATTTTAGGCTTTAGGTCTTCACAGGAAAGGCATTGTGTGGGAGCTAATGGGTGGGGAAATTAATCTGTTAGAGTAGTATGCTCTTTCAAAGAATGAAGGCAGATGAATCATGCTTGTTGACATTTCGTTTCACTTGTTGCAGTATTTTCCACATATTTACTGTTCATTCAAAAATGCATCATTGGGTAGCAGAATATGAGTTTGTGTAGACATATAAAATTATAGAATCAATATTGATATTGAAGCTTACTGTTAGATGCTAATGAAACGTATGAAAATAACTGTGCAGAAAAGTAAAGCATACTCTAAAATGGAATCTAGCACAGAGAGGCATGTATTAAAAATCATATTAATACTACAACTTAATGCATGTCTTTTTAAAGATTAGGCTTCCTGAGTTTGATATTTTTATTTACGATATGCTGTCTTCAGTTCTTACATTTTCCTGCAAATTAAAATTAGGAGAATACCTCTTGTTGTGCTTCTGTCCCATCCTTTCTACAAATAACTGGTCACTGCTACTTATTTGAATAAGGATTCTGATTTGTACGTATACTATATTTGAACTAGTCAACATCTGTATTAATTTGCTTACAGTTTTATTTAGGCATAATGCTGTCAATCAGTTTACCCAGTTGAGAGCATAAACAATGGGGGTTTACTCTTGCTTCTGCCCTGGAATATGAATGCCAGCCACTTACCTTAACTCAGTGTTTCTCAAACTGTGCTCCTCCTGGTGTTTTGGAGTTCAGATCCTCGTAAACCCAGCTAGCTTTCCAACTGTTAGGAATTGTGGGAGCTGAAGTACAAAACATCTGAAGGAGCATAGTTTGAGAAACTCTAATTACACATTGTGTTGTGAGAGCTGTTGAATATTCTTCACTTAACACAGATTTTAAATTATGGTTTAAATCTGGTTAAAGAAATTGCCTGCTTAACTTGGTTAAGGCAGGAATTTGCCTTCCAGAAATAAGGTTTCAGGAAAAAATATCAATTTATGCTCCCTGTTTGTTAATTATGGCTAACTGGGTGTGTTAAGATGTGTTTGTTAAACATTTTAGCCCATGTTTACCACACAGAATGCTCATAGAAGTCCATCATCTATAAAATGCAAAAATGCATAAATAATGTGAATGACTCTATCACAGTGAAACACAAACTCAAGTAAAAGTATGGGAGAAACACTGACAGTCATTAGTATGCACCAAGACAAAATATCTTTTGTACAGGCCCTCTTGCATGTTGTGACAGCCCTCAAAGTATGTTTGGCTGGAACTGGAGAGATAAACTTCTTAGAGACTGTGTGTGGCTTCTTGAACTCTCTCCGTTCCCCTTTTTTAATGTATTGCCTTACCCCTTCTTAATGCTCTTCTGGTGTGTACTGAAAGCCTTCTTTCTTGGAATTGACTTTATGCACATTAAATTCTGCTGAAATTACACACACACACACATTTAGAGCAATGCTATGCAAAGTGGTGGTATCCGGACCACTGCTGATTGTTGAAGAGCTTTCAGGAAAGAAACAATAGTAGTCAGTGGGCACAAATGTTGCTCTCTGGCATGTTCTTGGAAAACATTCAGGTATAGATTGAAGCTTCTTTAAATTTTGAACATGTGTTTGCGAGGGGAATGAGGTATCATCTAAAGCAGTCTGATTTCATGTTCCTGGATTAGCAGTTCTATGGATTAGAAGTGCTTGTTTTATATGGATTAATCTGCAGTTGGCCCTCATCTAGCTCATCATAAACCTTAAGCATGGTTTCAGTATCACAGCAGCTTCCATGAAATGTGATGGGAATTTCTGAATGATTTATTCTAGTGGTTTTGACATTAAACAGTGTGGGAGACAAGATCAAACTCTATGGATCACTATTGGTTTAATGCTGCTTCATAGATGCTGTTTGCCATTTTTTCAAAATGTATTGTGAACTCTCTCTCTATACATGCACATGCATACACACTTATCCAGCTGTTATTCCTTTCATATTGCAGGACTGATATTGGCCTCAGTAATAATACCAAGAATAAAAATGGTAAGATTAATTTAATGTTTTTATAAGCAATTTGACATACAGTTTGTGATAATGAATATGATTTTGCAAAAAGAAATAAAAACAATTTTAAAAGAACTAAATACAGTAGAATGTATCTTATTGTATAGTATCAATTAAAAGGTTTAAAATCAGGATTCAAAAGACAGTTACTAACATAGGCAGCCTTATATGGCCTTATTAATCTACTTTACTCTGGAAAACATGAAATTAAGATGCCACCAGACATTGAATATCTTGTCCCCAAGCTGAAAATAAAAGGTGTACTAAAATAATTTATTGTGGTGTACTACAGGAGGGTTGTTTTTAACTGATATTAAGTCAGCTTTGACTTATGACCCTGTGAGTAAGAGATCCCCAAGTTACTCTATTATCAACAGCCCTGCTCAAGTCTTGAAATCACAGGTCTTTGGCTTCTTTGATTTAGTCTATCCATATGGAATGCAGTCTTCCTCTTACCCCCACTGTTTTTTCCCTTACCAAGCATTATTTTTTCTAGTGAGTCATGTCTTCTCTTATATAGCTCTAAAACATGACAGTCTCATTTTAGTCATCATGTTTGTAGTGAGGGGCGAGGCTTGATTAGCTCTAGTCTACATTGATTTGTCTTTTTAGCAGTCCATGGTATCCAAAGAACTCTTCTTCAGCACTACATTACAAATGAACCAATACTGTGCCAGGAAGTGTGTGTGTGTGGGGGGGGCGATTGCCCCACCCCCCAGCACAACATTGGTACTAACCAGGAAACCTCCAGAGAGGCCTAATGGCAGCCCAGTAAGTTTTAATTTTATTTTAAAGCTTTTAAAGGGGGATTTAGGGAGGGGTGGGTTTTCTCTTCACTTCTCTGGGTCCATTGGGCTTGATGAAGCACATTGGATTGTGGGGACAGATTACTCTTTTCCCACAGGGCCTATACTCCATTAGACCTGGGCCTTTCAGAAAGGCCCAGGTCTAATAGAGTATCTAAATAATTCGTATCAAAGCAAGTCAGTCCTCTTTTATCTGAGGCGTTGTTTGGATGCCTCAGGTAAAAGTCCGACAGGGCCTGGGATATGGACCTTGTCTGGAAGGGCCCCTAGTCTTATGATTTCTTGATTGTAGCTTTAATTCTAATTAATGATTGGGCTATGATATGGATAAATCTTTAACTTTTTCACTGAGTTTTCTTTAAAATTATGTAAATTACCTGAGGTCATTATTTCTGTTTCATTTAATATTCAGCTGTAAACCTGCCTCTGTACTTTCTTTCTTAACTTTCTTCAATAATCATTCCAAGTCTTTTTTGTTTTCTTCTAGTAATATAATATAATCTTAATGTCTTAAATTGTTGAGGATCCTTCCTCCAATTTTCACATTTTCTTCCTCTGAGTGTAGCTCTGCTTTATGTATGATATATTCAGTGTAAAGGTTAAACAGGGTGATAAAATGCAACCTTGGCTTACAACCCCTTGTCAAGTGGAAACTATAATATTTTTCTATGTTCTGTCCCAACAGTAAGTGTTTGTCCTGAGTTCAGGTTATGAATCAGGAAAATCAAGTCTTGTGGTACATCAGTTTCTATAATCTAAAAAGCACAGGCTGATTTTGTCGTGAAATTCTTTAGAGCAGCCCATTATCTAATACTTGTTTGTGGTATGATGTATAATGCCCCCCCTTAAGTATTTTATTAAATTGAAGAGACTATAAAATAAAACAGCAATCAGAAAAAGAGAATTCAGCAGTATTTAAAACTAAAATTACAGCATATCTTCCAATAAAAAAAAGAATAAGTGAAATAGAGTTCATTTCTCTTTCGTCATGTAATATATTCCCATTCCTGACATCTTCAATCTTAATTTAAGTTTTCCTTTGATTTCTTGGATTTTGTGGAAGAGATCTCCTCTTCTTTTTTGTTGTTGTTGTCCTCTTCTACAGGGTGAGGCAGCATAACTTCCTTTTTGTCAAAACTTAATAAAACCCATTGTATGAATCAGAATTTTTTATTTTTTTTATAATGTAGTCGTATACCTAAAGTTTTGTTTTACATAGTTTTGAAGATCAAATTAGGTAGGTGACGTCGCCCATTCTCCATACACTGAGTAAACCGATTTCTGGCGTTTGTCATGACTCTTGCAAGCATAGCAGGTGTTATGTTGGCAATTTCTTCCTGGATGTTGGTCTTCAAATCTTGTAGGGTCCTTGGACGGTTCACATAAACACAGGATTTCAAAAAAAAAAAAAAAACCATAGAAAAAAACCATAAGGGGCCAAATCTGGAGAGCGGGCCAGCCAAATCCGCTCGAAAAGTAGGGCTCAACGGCAAAAGCATGCTCCTCACTGTTCCAACGCATGATGGCGACTGAACTGTGTCAGAACCAAACTTTATACTCCCACCTCTTGAACGAGACCACTAGCGCTCTGCTACGTCTTCAACCACATGGCGCGCATTTTAAAAAAGGAACTTATGCTGCTTCACCCTGTATTTCTCTGCATTGATTGTTATATGGTAGTTTTCTTCACTCCTCATCACAATCTACTTAACAGTTGCTTTTTCTGCCCTCATTTACATTTTGTTCATACTTTATTGGTTAAATAATTCTTTATGCCCTGCATTGAGTGTTCTCTCTCTTTTTAGTTGCAAATGGTGTCATTTTGCATAGCCCCCTTACATTGTCCTTGGCTTTAGTTGAGAGCTCTTCTAGCTCCTGATCAATTATACTTCATAGCACAAATCTATATTTAATATCTGTAAAATCTATGGCAATGTTCTTAAAACTGAGTTTTACTCTGATATTTAATCTTGGTAGTTTGGGGTCTATGCTACTGCTTTTTAAACTCCAAATGGGGTTCCTTTAGCTCAGCGTTGGGGTCGTGAAAAAATTGGCAACAGTAAACCTTGTGGCCGTTTTAGCCATTTACACAAATCTATTAACAACAATATGCAGTGTTTATGGAGGACTCTGCAAAAAAAAAAATGCTTCAGCTCTACTTTATAAAAAGGAAAATGATCCTTTTTAACAAGCTGATTTATTATTGGTAAATGCTGATTTATTATTGGTAAATGTTTGATTGTTGTAGCTATTATATATATCTCTATATCTGAGGTCGCATTAAAAAATCTCAGGTGGAAGGGGTTGCAGTGGAAAAAGTTTAAGAAGCTTTGGTTTGTTCCACAATCTGCTCCTGGTTTTAGAAGAGAGAATGGAGCTTCTTCACTCTTCTTCCAATTCTGTAATGTTTGATTTCTGTATCGGCCATCATATGATGTCCATATACATAGACAATTTTGATTGCTGTATCATGTTCTACAGTCATGTTCAGATCTTGCAATCTCAGGTCTTTGACTTCTTTGAATGAGTGTATCTATCTGGAATATGGTTTGAGATGAATAAACTGTTGGTCTCACAACATTTAAACAATTGTTGAAGCATTTCAGGGCCAGAATCACTGGGGTGTTGTGTGGTTTCCGGCCTGTATTGGTGTGTTTTAGCAGCATTTTCTCCTGATGTTTGACCTGCATATGTGGCTGGCATCTTCAGCATAAACAATCATTTGCCAGCTCAGATTCCTAGCTCAGGTTCTCCTACAATCTCTGATTCTGCTCTGTTTCCTGCTTTTGCATTCTTATCACCTGTGATAAACAAAAAATCATGTTTTGGTGTGTGATCAGTTTCATCCAGCACTCAGCATAGAATATTTAATTTTTTTGCCTTTAAAATTAGAGCATAAACATTGAATATGTTTATATTGATGAATTTTCTCTGAGGTCTTATCGGCATGTTGGGAAAGAATTTCCAAAAGAAGAAAAGCATTAAAAATGGCAAAGCAGCAACAACAGTAGTAGCAGCAGTTCAGCAGATCAGAAGCTTCTAGTACCAACAGTAGAGCAAAAGAGCTTAAGCAATCAAGAGTAGGGTCAAGCTTTAAAATGATAAAAGACTTTGTTCAAAGAATTACATAACTAGAGAGGAAAGTTAACATAGGGCCTAGCTAGCTCTCCAACTAACACACAACAGACATCTTGTCCCTCCATGGTTACGGGAGAAGAACAAAATGAAGGATTCGAGCTTGCTATGTGCTCAGAAAAGGAGGTGCATCCCTGAAATGTATAAATCCCATAATGTTATAGGAGAGAAAGGCAGACAGTTGAAGAGGCCCCTGCAGGAAGGGTTTTTCCCTGCCAACTGATCCATATGCCTATCTAAGCCCTGGATGTAAACTACAAGCTTGTGCAGGATGTGGTTGAGTTCCAACAATGATTGGGCCAGAATTTGCATTATATTCTTTGATGGATTTTACTACATCTCTTCCCACTCTGTGTCTTTTCATTTCCTAACAAACACTGTGTATCTGACTCAAAAGTGTAATTCCTGTCCAGTTGAACTCACTTACCCCAAGTATTGCAATGTTTGTATGTTACTTTTCTTGTTTTACTACCTTCCTCTGATTCATGCTTCTCACCTCCATGTCCCTTGAATAGGTATTGTGCAGCTTCAGATTTTCCTTTCACATCTGTGCATATCAACTGTTAAATGTCCTTTCAGCTTCAGTCCAGTTACACCAGGCATGGGCAAACTTCGGCCCTCCAGGTATTTTGGACTTCAATTCCCACAATTCCTAACAGCTGGTAAGTTTGCCCATGCCTGAGTTACACCACTACCATCAGAGCTACTCATAATTGTCCTCTGTTCTTCTCTAAAAGCTCACTGAGTGCCATTCAACCTGGGAGTTTCATCTTCTGACACTATCTCTTGTTTAAATTTGATTGTTTCATCCTAGGGTTTTAAAAAACTGTTTAACATGCCCCTTTTTGCACAGTACTAACAAGATTACGTATAGTATCACTGCTGTTGTCATCAGGTAGGAAGTTACAGGAAAGTCTTTTTAATTTAAGTAACAGTTTACCAATGCTTCCATAAGTCTAGGTGAAAAAAATGCCCATCCATAAGGAAGTGTTTATTTATCCCATTGCTTACTTGTTAGTCCGTCTCTTTCAACAGCTG